ATTTATCACAGGTCTGTGAACCTGCAGCTCAGCCTTATGGTTGTTGTTCCCATCTCTTGATGGATTCATGCTGACCCTTCTCCTTGGCAAACCGCCACAACACAGAAGAATTGGTTAATTGCATACTACTGTTCTTTATAGGAGAAGGGATTTGGATTTGATCTGTCTCCAACTAGTGCATTCAGTTTTGTTCAGATTTCCACAAAGTGCTCAGTGAATCCTTCTGCATTTTCCCTGACTGATGGATTTTTACTTGCATGGAAAATTGGTCGCTGGAATACCAGCATGTTTTGAAAACCCCGTGGGGACTGGTGGGTGAGCCTGGGGGAACTGTGCTTGGGCAGGCTGTCTAGAGGTTTGGTTTTCCCTGGAGACTCAGTGTCTCTGTCCATGTGCATGAATGGGAATAGGACATGGCTCTTGCACAGTGCTGGGGAGGTCCTTGTGTTCCCTGTTTCTGCCAAGGTGTGAACAGCTCTCCAGCGTGGGGTGTCCTGCTGGCTGTGCATCCCATCCTGGGAGCGCAGAGCAGCTTGTGGCCTGGAAGGTGCAGCTGGGTGGGGTGCAGGTGCTGCCCCTCTGCTGCTGCCAGCACCTGTAAAGCCCTCTACAACCAGGTAGAGCTAAGGGCACCCGGCACGTGACGGCCTGGCCTTTTGTTCTTATTTCTTGAGCTGATTTGAAACTAAGCAGGGCTTAGTTTGGGACCTCGTTAGCGCTACTTTTAGTATCTCCCCTTTAAAATGGATCATCCCCCTGATTTATTTGTCCTTCTGAGCTGTGGGCTTTTTTTTGTATTGTTAATTTTCTTTGATTCTCACACAAAATGAGAAGCACCTTTTGCACGAACCCCAGGTTGGAAAAGCAGCTGCTCTTAAGCACACTGACCTGGCTGTGATCCTGGCCATGTCCTGGCTGGTGCCAGCTCTCTCTGTGGGCTTGGCTGTGTGCTGGCACCTCCTTGGGCACAAAACTGTGCCATCTTCTGCTGACAAAGCATGTGGCCCCTCTGGTGTGACTGCGGAGCAGATCTCTAGATGTTACATTGGGGGGGGGGGGGGGGCACCTGGGGCTTTCCATTCCATCTGGGAATAAGACTGATGGCTGGGATGTGAAAATGGACTGAAAAGGTCTCACCTTTCATGGAATCACAGAGTGGTTTGGTTGGAAGAGACCTTCAAGGTCACCTCTTTCCAACCCCATGCCATAAGCCTCTAAGTGACATGGCTGGGGCATCCTGAGCAGAGCCCATTTTTCAGGTGGCCCAAAATATCTGGCCAGAGTTGGTGGGGAAGATTTTGGCTTTGTGGCCATCAGTAACCACATGGGCCTGTTGCAGTCTGATCAGGTTTAATGTGACTCTCCCTGTTCTTTGCAAAGGAGTCATTAAAGGGATAAACAAGGGCTGGGTGAAAACTGCTAATGCTCAGCTTATTTTCAGTCCTTTATACTTTTTTTAATATTAGATTTTGATCTTGTTTTCTTCTAAGGTGCCAGCGTGAGATTCTTTATGGGCTGGTCTTACCACACTCTGAGTCTCAAGAATCCAGTCATGTGGAAAGGATTCCTTCTGAGATGCAGCAGGCAGACTTTATCCTTTGATTCCATAACTTTCAGCTCCTGTCTCCAAGTGACTGAGTTTTGGTTTTGCTGAGCAAAAACCATTCCCTAGTACCTTTTTAAAAAAAGAGCTAGTGCTTAAAAAAAAGAGGATCATAATCAAGTGATGTCTCAGAATGGTTGTGGTTGGAAGGGGCCTTGAGGATATTTAATTCCACCCCTCTGCCATGGGCAGGGACACCTTCCATTGGAGTGCTCCAAGCCCCATCCAAGCTGGCCTTGATGATGATGATGAGCAGATATTCCTGCAGTCAGGGAGGGTGTGCTGCATTTCACAGAACCTCAGCTGGGTGATGATACACAAGGGGGTTTTCATCAGTAGAGCTGATTCAGGGAGTCTCCCGTGCCCAAACTCCAAATCTGGGTGCTGAATCATGAACTTATTCAGTAGCTCTTAGTAAAGCAAAAGATGCTGTTTTAACTGAGTTTTTCCAGGGGAACCTCCCTGATGATGACTGCTTTTTGTTTTGTTAATAATCAGATGAAACGATTTTGGTGTGAGCTTGGGGCACAGTAAACATTCTCTGTGGTCACAAAAGTCAAAGACTTCAGCTACAGTCCGTGTAAGTCCAAAGCGACCCAGCCCACTGACACTGAGAAGAGAGCAGGTGCCACCGGGACCTGCAGCTCTGCATGTGCCTGGTACAGGTGGGGTGTGAGTGTTGTGACACAGACACTGGTGTAACACAGCGGTGCACACAGAGGGTGTGGGTGTCCTGGGGAGGGCCAGGAGGAGCTGTGCTGGGTGTGCAAGAGGGCAGGGTTGGGTTACCTGAAGTTTAGCACTCCGTGCTTCCCCTCCTCCCCAGCTGCAGGATCCTTGCAGTGCCTGTGTGTCACGTTGTGTTTCCAGGCACTGGTTCTCATGGGAAAGGCTGGCTTCCCCCGGTGAGTCGGAAATCTCCCAGGAGCCCAGAGCATTGAGAGTATGTGTCAATTGTTTCCTCCCAGGCGCTTTGAGAAGGGAGCCTTGGAGATTATCTCAGCATTTGGAACAATATAAACAGATGCCAAACACTTCAAGTACATGGGGAAGGAAAATGTTTTGGTTGGCCACCCTGAACGGTTGGGGGGTGGGGGCACAGCAAGGAACATTAAATAAGTCTCTGCCTTCAGACTAGGGGAAAGCAGCAAAGTAATGCAGATGTTTGCCTGCGTATATACAAGTGAGTTTCATATTACCAAAATCTGTGCTGTGCACACGTGGTCCAAAGATTAAAGAGATTGTCCAGTTCTGTTGGCAGCATATTAAAGTATTAAGACTGCAGGCTCACTATGATGTGTTTCTATTATCGAACTGACCACAGAATTCAAGTGATTCAAAGGGGAATGTTTAATACAGATGCCTTTTGCATCAGGCTCTTGGATGGAGTTTTGGGCGTGAGAATCCCTTGGGAGGGGCTACCACTGCCCTGTCTGTCTGGGGTCACCCCCACCCTCCAACTCCTGCTTGTGCTCAGATAAGATCTCCCCGTCCCTGTCCCTGTACTCAGGCCATCTGCCACGTTAAAGCTGATGTTTCCAGTTGCTGGAAGAGCTTTCTGGGTTTCCTTTGGCACGCAAGAGCTAAACTGGATCTTCACGTGTCTGTCTGGGAGGTCTTGCTGCAGATGTCTCTGTGGCTCTGCCCTTTCCCTCTGCACTGTGATCCCATTCCTCGGAGATGGCCATTCTGACAAGAGGCAGCAGACACAGGACCCTGTTATGTCACTATTTCACTGCCTGAGTTTGAACCCTGCTCAGCTCCAGAATCCTCTCTCTCTCATCTCTGGTAGTGTCCAAGGCCAGGTTAGATGGGACTTGGAGCAAACTGGTGTAGTGGAAGGTGTCCCTGCCCATGGCAGGGGCTGGAACAAGATGAGCAAACATGCAAAATAAAGGCCTCACAGCTGGCCTCAGGAGTGTGTGGAATTTGAAATGGCAAATCAGGGTTGTTTTTCATTGGCAAATCAGTTAGTTACAGAAATGGAGTATTTTGTGCCTGAATTTTCAGTTGTTCAGTCACCAAGACTGGATTTATCATAAAGAGGAATTAGAGACACATGTTCAGTTTGTGGGTCATTGATTCAGATGAATTTGTTTACTCAGTCTGTTCATCCAAAACTCTCCATTCGGCCACTCTGGGATTGAAATGGGGAAATCAAACTTGGTCCCAAGTACAGAATCCAGCTCTCATTTCTCAGGAGTTACTTTTGTAAGAGCTGCTTTTATAGCTTGCAGTGAGATGTCTCAATGATCTGGGCGGAGAAGACAACATCTAAGTGCTTTCTGTAAGCACAGGATATTCATCCCGAGCTGGCAGAAGTGCAGAAAGCCCTGAAAAGAAAACATTTCTATCAGACACAAATAGACACAACCATTAGCAAATGTAGTTGAAGTGCTTTGGTTTGAAATCCCAGTCTCAGTGCAAGGGCATCCTTGGGATTTACAGCCAACATATGAGATTTGGCACTTCTTCTGTTACTTGTTAATTTTTATTTTAGAAAGTGTCAAGTAGGAGTTTATAGGAGTTTGTGTAAGTAGTCCTTCCTCCTCTGCTGTGTTATCACAACACCCTAATGGTACTTAGAGCATGGACCTCTATAGTGGCACCTGTGTAAGGTACCTAATGGTACTTTGGCACTTGTTATACAGTGGACTGCACAGTCAAGTGATGTAGATTTTGTTGGTCTAAGCTCTTCAATTAAACTGAATCACTTGGCATGAGGTAGTTGTTAAGTTCAGCCAGTGTATTTGGTAAAACAAATGGAAAAATTAGTGTAGAATGTGTTTGAAAAGCACTCTGTTCAATATTACAGAATGAGTATGATGGCCTTCTGTGGGGTTTATTTTTGTATTTAAATGAGTCACAAGGACAACCGTTATCAGAGTCTGCACTGGCACGTGCTCTCAGAAATGATAGGATAAAAATACTTCTCCAAACGGTAGCTACAGAGCTCCAAGCTCACATCTGGAGACAAGAAAAACAGGACTAATTAACGTTAGGCCAGCTAAGAGAGATATCTCACTTGCCTTCTGGAGTGAAACAGGGATAGGACAAAGAGTAACGAGTTTAGACCAAAAGAGGGGAAGTTTAGGTTAGACATATGGAAGAAATCCTTCCCTGTGAGGGTGGTGAGGCCCTGGCACAGGCTGCCCAGAGAAACTGTGGCTGCCCCATCCCTAGAAGTGTCCAAGGCCAGGTTGGATGAGGCCTGGGGCAACCTGGGCTAGTGGAAGTGTCCCTGCCCATGGCAGGGTTTTGGAATGAGGTGAGCTTCAAGGTCCCTTCCAACCCAAACCATTGTGGGATTGACAGAAATGCAGTGTGAACTGTGCTGGCCCATGGTGCCCAGACTGCATAGAGCTGAAGTTAATGTTGGTGTGCTTGTGCTCCCCAGGTCACCACACCATTTACATCGGGGTCCATGTGCCGAAGAGCTACCGGCGGAGGAGGCGTCACAGAAGAAGAGCTGGGCACAAAGAAAAGAAAGAAAAGGAGAAAATCTCGGAGAACTACTCGGACAAATCAGACGTAGAAAACACTGACGAGACAAGCAGCAGCATCCTTAAACCACTCAGTGAGTACTGCTTCCACTTGTCAGTCCTTACAATGTTCTGTTCTCTAGGGGGTCTGCTCACGGAGGATGGAACTCGAGCCACAAAAACAATGATCTCACATTGCAGGGTTGGAGTGGTTTTACCCAGCTGCTGTGCTTGAAAAAGGCACAGCCCAGAGCAGACATTTCATCCCTCTGTATCACCTGAGTTGGCCCCTGAGGGATGCCAGGCAGGAACAGGCTGAATGTTTGAAAAGCAATTTGACACTGTGTGTAAAGAGATAGCAAGCAAGGGCAAAGACTGAGCAGTGCCTAGGTGGATCTATTGCAGCTTCTGCCCTGGCTCTGGGGCGTGCACATGCTCTGGAATTCCAGCACCCCATGGTTTCAGCCTCATGTGTCACTAACTTGCAGTGCTAACAGCTTCTTTCCCTTTGGTAATTAACCAGTTTTAGGTTTTGAAATCGAAACGGAGACTCAAGTGGAGCTTTGCTGTACGTTTGAGTATCTTTAGAGATTGAATGTCTAAATATTGACAGGCAGGTGAGATCTGTTTTGGATCGCCTGTGCCTCTATTCCCACCAGAATTGTTATGCAGAGGACAGTGACCTTTAGCTGGTGCCATCATTGTGCAGAGTCACAGGGTTGCATTCCCCTTGCTGTATTCTCTGTTGGCCACAAACTTGTCCTGAAATCTGGGAGATGGCTGCTTTGGTAGGAGCAGGGGGGAGATGGGAAGGCTGATGGGGTTGTGTATAGCAGGCCAGGCCAGGATGTGATATAGCTTAGAATATTCAGGCTAATTCCAGATGGCTGGAGCTTCATTTCTAAGTGGAAAAATGCTTCCTGTGTGTGAGAGATCCATACAACTGCATCTTGGATTGAAGAAATACATTCATTTCTCATTTTGAAGTCACGTTGCTGGGTAGTTGCTGTAGATAGAGACAGTAACATAGGGCAGGCAGATCAGTCATGTCTTTAGCCTGGTTACCATCTTCAGAGAACAGCACCTAGAAAGGAAGGCAAGTCATAGATTCCATTTGTTCTTCCCAGCTCTTGTTCCCTGGTTGTCCCAAAGAAGGTTTTTTGTCAGTGCTCAGATACCAGGAGTTGGTTTAACACCAAAAGACATAATTACTTCAAGAACTCAAATGTTTTAAACTTTAAACATAAAATGTTTATTTTCACACCTCTGTTCTTTAGCATGCAGGTTACCAGGCCTGTAGAAATTTCTTTTTTGATTCTGAATGTATCATATCCTAGGGAAATTGTTTCCATGGGCTAAGTGTGCCTGTGTTTGAAAACCCATTTCTTCCATCAGATTTTCATGTCCCATCAGGTTTTCATTTTGCCCATCATTGTGTCTGTGACATTTGAGGAGGGGTTTGTGGTGTTTTTTCTCTTCTGTTTTTTCTATGCAGGTGTAAGTGCAGATAAGAACATATTACTGCAAGTAAGAAAATGCAGTCTTCCCATCACTTTCCATCTGCAGTTTTCCCATAGGCTCTTCCACCCTGACCTCTTTGCACTGCAGATTTTTGGAGTGGAATTGCATGAATATTCCAGGTGTCCCATGCAGTAGCATTCATACCCCATCCCTGTGCCCTTTTCTCTGTTGTTCAGCAGCTCAGGTATCTGGATACTTTTCCAGGTCCTTGCAGGGACCTGCTGTTTCATGCTGGTGGCCAGATCTTTTTACGAGCTGGCTCAGTTATCTTGGAGCTCTGTAAAGGAGAGGGGTAGTTCAGATTACTGTCTTGAATTACAAGTTACCTCATATCCCTGGGCTTTTTCCTCCTCTGAAACTCCTGTCTTCAGAACTGACCTGAATTTTGTGTTTCACACCCTTTCTTTTGCTTTCTGAGATGCCTTTCTTTTCTCCCCACCAGCTGTGTCACACAAGTGTGTCTGACAGAAGCCCATTTCTCTCTGGGCAGCATGTACCAGTTCAGGCTGGTGTCCAGTGCTGGCAATCCCGGCAAGAAACCTCAGTTACAACCCTGGGGTTTTAATCTTCATCCCATAATAGGCATTGATTGAGGGATGGGTGGCTCAAATTCAGTTTCAAAAGAACTTTAGAAACTAAGAGCTGGAGAATATTGCAGAGCAATTTTAATGGAATTGGGAGAAAGCTGAAATGAGCTGTACTACGTATATGTAAGGCAGTCAGTAGAGAGTGTGGACTATCAGATGCTGAAATAGGTGTGAGGGCTGTGTGGTTTAAAACAAGCAAAATCTGGTCTGACATGAAGAAATCTCAAGCACTGTGAGTTTTGGTTCAACATATCTCATTTTAAGAAATTCTTAATTTATACAAAGAGCTCCTTCTCTTTGTTGATTTTGCAGTTATCACCTTGGCCAGTATTAGACACTTGTCAGTTCAGCTTGGGTATACAACTCGTGATTTAGTGTCTCTTCTAATACAAGGACAAGTATATAGAGCTTGATTTACAAAATCTTTAATAATGTAGTTGTTAAAATAATCTGTAGAAGTTCAGGGAACAATTTTGTTGTCCTATATATTGAGACCTTTGTTTTTCCTGAGTAGAAAGCTTAAGCCAGTTGTGATTTGGTACATCACTTGGAATTCTTGATCTGTCCCTAAGGACCATGAGCCTAAGCTTCAATATCTTACCTGAAAATAATTTCTCAGCTTCTTGGATGAAAACTTTGCAATTAGACTTAGACCAAGTCTGGGTTTGACTCACTGGGTCAAGCTGCTCGCAGCAGCTGAACCTGACAGAAAATGTCCATTGATACCAGCAAGAGAATAAACAGGTCCAGAAATGTAAATCTTCCCTAGGAAAGTTTTGTTTCGGTCCCAAACCACTCTATCTGTGCCTCTGTGTTTGGGAATTGGTGCAGTCTGGAAATGTCAGCCCTTATATTTTTTTTAACCTGTGTCCAGCTGAGCCAAACTCTGGTAGTTCTAGACAACCTTCAGCTCTCCCATCTGGAGAGAGCTGGGCAGGTGGAACGTGTACAGATCCATTTTATCCTAGGGAAATGAGTGCTTGGGAACCATGCCTCCTTCACAAATCCAGACAGGGATATTCTGACAGACTGAGGAGGAGGCAGGAAGGCAATGTTCCCTCTGCAGAGCCCTTTCAGGACATTCCAGGCCTGCGGGGCTGTCTCTGCTCTCAGGGAACTTAGGCATTCACGCCCTGCTTCTCAGGCAGGACTGCAGACGATGACAAATCCTCTTCCAGGTGAAACATCCCAGCACCTCTGGTCTAAAAGCACCTCCTGTAACCCCCTAGCCTTGGTTTCCATTTAGGGCCAGTCAGGAACAAAGGCTTTTTAGGCTCTGCCTCATGGATCAGCTGGTGCTTGTGTCAGCACAAAGAGGATGGTGCAGTTTGCTGCTACTTGCAAGGGATGACACAAGGGAGGAACAAGGAAGGCAGATGAAGTTTCTCTGAGTCCATTTCCCTCTTCCTCGTTCTGTACTACCGGTGTGCAGAGATTTTCCCATGAGGAAATGCATCTCCACTTGATCTGGGAAGGGGTTTTTTCTCATTGTCTGGTTGCCCTCCAAGTCCCTTTGGCTCACCTCCCTGGCCCAAACCCAGGTGTTGCAATACTTTACTGACTTTTTAAAACCCCTTGTGGTTCTGAGAAATTCTTACTTCCAAGGAGTTGAATTCTCTTAGTGCTTGCAGCCCTGAAGAGAGCAAAACCTGATTTTTGTCAGGTGTCAGAATGTTGCCATGTTGATAAATATAACTGCAGAATCTAAATTTTGGAATACCTAAAAGCAGGGGTAAGAGGACCCATATAAAGAGAAAGTGGAAGGATGACATGAGAGCTTTTTAAAGGCTTCTAGTTGGCTCAGAGAATTCCTCTTGCACCCAGCAGCAACAGTTCTTAATGGTTTTAGTAAAAATCCTCTCTTGAGCCCTCAGATGTGGGTTTGGAGGAGCACTTCTCCTGTTTGCAGGGAGTAATTTCATTAAGGTGCAGTTTGGGGCTTGTGCTGCCATTCTACATGGAGTGCATCTCTCCCAGTGAAGGTGAGGTTTTGGCTGGATGGATCAGATTTGCACTGGAAGCAGGTAAATTCCTGGTCCTGCTTCCCATCTTGGAGTGCCTGCTTTGCTGGAAGAGTTTATTGTGGGCAATGTCCCATTTCATAGGTGGCCCAAAGAAGTGATGGATTCCTCATCCCTGGAAGTGTTCAGGGCCAGGTTGGACAGGGCTTGGAGCAACTTGGGGTAGTAGAGGGTGTCCCTGCCCATGGCACGGGGTTGAATGAGCAGATCTTTAAGGTTCCTTAACCATTCTGTGATTCCCAGTGAGGAATGCCAGTCTGACTGGAAGGGTCCATTCATAAAAAGATCAAATTAATTCAACAAGGATATTTAGACATCTCTTTAGGAATGCTCAAGTTGGGTGTCTGCTTTGAAAGTTCATTAAGGCAGACGCTATAAATAGCAGGAGAGAGCTACAGGATGGAAATAAATGAACCTCCTTAGCAGAGCAGATGCAGCACAGTCAGGACTGTGCCAAGAGTTCTCTTTCTGTTCGTGTTACTGGATTTTTCAGCCATCCAAATTCTTTCCTGATTTTTCAAGACATGGACTAGGATTTTCCAAAAGCTTTTAGCCTCAGCTCACCTCAGTGAGAGCACTGACAGTAGCTGACAAAAACCAGGTAGGATGGCCAAAGCTTCATTGTTTTTGTATTGGCATTTTGCATAGGGAAAGTGGTCAGGGAGACTTTGCTGTGAGTAGGAGGGAATTTTGCTGGTTTGGTCTTTGAGAACTGCACGGCAGGCTCTGGACTGGTCCCAGGTGCTGGGGTCAGTTGGAACAGGCCTTGTTCTGCCCCTCCAGTAGTGCTTGGGTCCACTGTAGTGCAAGTGCAGAGATGAGTTAAGCACAGAGCTAATTACTGCTTGCCTTGCAGACTGCCCTCTGTGTAGCTGGGGCCCGCTGGGGCACTGGCAGGGTGCAGCTGGCAGTGTCCATGGGAAAGGCCATGGGAAGGTGCTTGGGGCAGGCAGGCTGGGGCAGGGC